AAACACTGGAACACAGTCAGCTTTAGTCTTTAACGCACAAACAATCGTTAGAAGAAACAGAGCTTCGGTTTACTTTAACTCGACATCTTTCATAATCACCTGTGTTTGTGTAACGGAGCGTGTGCGAGAGAGCGAGACGGCCTCCGGGCGTCTTCGCGCCGCCGTCTTTCGTCTCCCGTCCGCCCCTTCGCTGCTCGCCTCTCGTCTTCCTGCTAAAAGCGTTCGGGGCTTTCTCACCAGGAGAGTCTTCACACGGTTATTTTACAAACGAGTTTTATAATTGAAGCTCGCCTGTCGAATTGTTCAGGCAGAAACAGCCTGCTGTTGACATCCTGCACTGTGACACGTGACGCTCGGGTGACACAGAGACAGCGATCCGCCTGCATCTTATCTCCTGTCCAGTCATTGGTGCGTGTTAAACATGGACCGTCACAGAGACCCGTTATCACTCCTCAAACATGAGCGAGCTGTAAGTCTCATGAGCTGTTCTATTCATAACGACACAGGGCTCAGGTGTGTAATCAGAGTAAGCAGGTCCATCGGTCTGTAACGGTCTGTGAGCTGAGGAACGCCGCCACGTTCTGATGGAGGGTTCCAGCTGCTCAGCAGTCCTGTTGGTGCTTTCACGATGCTCCAGATGTTCTCAAAGGTCTGGACATGGCGTCCATGTTTGGATGGGTCTGACCTCAGATCAGTCTTAAAGGAGACGGGGGCGTTTCTCCATCGGGGTCACGCGTGGCTTCTCCTCCACGTGATGGAGCCTACATGGGCGGACGTCACGCCCAGTCGCTCGCAGACGGCGTTTCTGGAAGCGTTCCTGAGCCCGCGCACTGATTTCTCACAGAGCGGCGTTTGAAGGTTATCGTCCTCGTCCCCGCGCTGATGATGTCACAGTGTGTAGATGACGTCATGTTCACAGTGAGGATTCAGTTTCTGCAGCTTGGTGAAGCTCTGCCCGATCATGTGACCCAGCGCTGACGGGTCACCTGACCAGCTGATAAATCTTCCTCCAGCTGTTTCTCTTCTCGGTTTTCAGCGTTTACATTATTGTATTTTGCACAACTCTGTTGCTTGTGAAGCTCGCACACAAGAAGTTCACTCACATGTGCTGTACCAATGTACCTGCACATGTGATGTGACAATAAAAGTGATTTGATTTGATTTGATTTTGTTGAGCCGTCCCAACTTTTACAGACGTGCTGCTGCCAAACTGAGCTCCTCCTGCAGGCGCAGGCGGCAGTAATTTACAGGAACCCAAAGCGCCCTCCTGCTTTAGTCTGTTTTACATTTTACTGGTCAAGCGTCGCCTGCCTGGCTTGTCGTGCCTTAAATGCCCGTGTGGAGCATCTGAATCCTTTTTCCCATCTGTGTGTAAAATGCTTTCTGTCACCGTGGTTTCACCTGAATCTGCACGTGCTCAGTCCGTCCCAGGTAGGATAACGTCTGTCTCCCCCTCAGATGGCGAGCATCCGAGCAGAGAAAACGTTTCCTCCCTGCAAGTCGAATAGCCCAGAGGACCAGGTCAAACCCATGCTGGACTGGGCCAATGGGGGCTTCCTGCCCAAAGGAGAGGAAGGACTGAAACCCACACACAGTGCCAGTGAGCAAGGCAGCAGAGCCACACTGTCATTCACTGTTGATCCCAAACAGGCTGCAGGATGTAAGTGTGTTTGTATGTGTCCGCAGACAGTAACCCTCTGGAGCACCACGTCCTCGACGTGTCCCTGTGCGAGTACTTCCCCAGCGCAAAGCGGCCCAAACTCAGCCTGTGTAAGAGCAAGGCCGCCCCCGAGGAGCTGTGCAACAGAGGTAAAAGGTCAAAGGTTAAACTCAGTGAACCCTCACAAAGTGGAGGATGTAATTTAGAAATGTATGTCAGCAAATCTGGTGTAAGTTATGTATTTAACATTTGTATGTTTCAAGGATGTGCTCAGAGACACACTGAACCCGTTTTATCACAGTTTTTACACTACAGCATCCTTATGATGTCACAGAGAGGGAAACCCCGCCCACCTGTTCCTCAAAACTGCAGCCTTTCAAAAGCAGGAGGAGCTAAAACAACTCGTTTTAGACAGGGGCTGAACTGAGGGGCTGCCTCGAGGCCCAGTATTAAATAAAGAAGGATTATTATGATCTGAATCATGCAAAGCTACTCTGGTAGAGTTCAAGGTTAAACATAAAGAGCTGGAAATGAGCAACTCTCCCAACATCTCGGCTCATTTATGTGTAAATGTGTATTGAGAACAAAAATATCCAGTTCAGAGAATCATATTCAAACAATAAAGTGTGTGATTAGGACTAAACTACACTTAAAGCATAATGTTGGAAAAATCAAGCTTTTATGTTTTTGAGAATGAAACAATTTATTAGAGATGATATTCTCAGCTGTTCTTTCTAACACAGATCTCATATCTATCAGTTTGTGCTTTCAGTTGAATTATTTTTGTTCTTTATGTTGGTTGAGTCGTATAAAGTTCGCAGTTTATGTCACTTTTCCTAT